CAGCCTTTGCTGTATGTTTCTTTTTTTTTCTTTGCTTACCTGACTGGCAATCTATCACTAAAATGCCTCCCCTTTTCTCCTTTTAATGATTCAGTGTGCTACCTCTTGCAGTCCTACCCCTCAATACAGCTTTGAAATTTGAAGGGAGCTGTCTCCCGCAAGGATTATATGCTCTGCAGTAGAGGAAGTAAGCAAGAAAAATGACACCCGTACCTTAAAAATGAAGCCACACAAAATGGGATTATCAAGAAATGGGCAGTTTGGGAACCTGATAATACTTTTCTTTCTATTTAACTTACATAATGCTCTAGTTGCAAATTAGTCCTCTGTTTCTGGGAAGAGCAGAAGTGAGGAAGTTAACGTGAAATGTCTAGGTTTAAGAGTACAGTTTGTCGTGATTAGCAAATCAAGCAAGTCTAATTAGATCTAATTTTTAACCCTGTCAAACATGGGTTTTCTCTGAAGACCAAAAACTCTGTGTAGCACTCTGAGGACAAGCATTTTGAGAATGTTTCTTTTAAAAGGAAAGTTAACCTAGCCCTGTGACATAGCTTGATGTTCACGAAGCTGCTCTGTAGTTTTTGGTAAATGTGAGATTTCTTTAATCCTTATCTATTCAATATCAGTAGTTCACAGTGATAAGGTAACCCATAATGCACCAACAGCTACTGGTGCTGAATCTGAAGGCAAGATGGTAATACAGATATGATTAAATAAGTGTGTGGGTGGGGCAGTTGAACTTGGAACATGAATTATGATGGTTCTCCATGACGCAAAGAAAAAGTTGTTTTAATAGTGCTTACCTGCGTACCCAAATGGACAGATGCAGTCATACTGTCCTATCTGGTTGAGACACGTTGCCCCATTCAGGCATGGATCTGACACACATTCATTCACTTCCAGGTCACAGTGCTTGCCTTGGTAGCCTGGGACACAGTAGCAGGAGTATTCATCAACCCCATCCCTGCACACTGCTCCATTGTGGCACGGTTCAGAAATGCATTCATCAAAATCCATTTCACAGAGTGTACCTGTGTATCCTGCGCTACAAAGGCAGGTAGGCCCAGCCAGGCCATTTTGGCAGGTGCCTCCATGCTCACAAGGGTTTGTGTCACATACGCTGATGGCTATTTCACAGGTAGGTCCGTTATACCCAGCAGGGCACTCGCAAGCAAAGCTGAGGTTTCCAGCAGAACGTAAACAGGTAGCATTTTGAAGACAAGGGTTTGAGGAGCAAGGATCAGAGGTTTTATTGCAGAGTTCCTCCACACTGTCCACTGATACATCTGCACAACGGCAAGTATCGTCTTTATGACCAGCAATGCATGTAGAGTTCTTTTGGCACGAGTTTGGCAGGCACGTGGAATCATTCCTCATGCAAAGTGACTCTAGAAAGGAAACACAAAAAATCCTGAGGACTTCCACAGCACTGGGAGTAAACAACAGTGAAAGAAGTGCAACTCTTGACACAACTGTGTTTCAAAACCAACACCTCCAATTGTTGGCTTGTTGAGAAGAAAACAGAGCTGGTTACTGTGTGACACATATCGGTAGACTAATAAATGTAAAATGAAAACAATTCCGAAAATATGAGTAGGTTGTAATTTCCTGTTCTCACCTCTTCCAACAACCTTGTCCTGGAGTGCCAGTATTGCTTAGCACTATATTAAGAGTACAGTTGCAATAATATTGGTGGTTGTCAACAGATATCCAACAATATGGAATGCATTTAAGTATATTTAAGACAATTTGGGTTTTTTTTTTACTAGAAAAAGGAGTTGAACCACATTTTTCAGTTCAATACCACTTTGTATTCTTTTGTGGTGGAAGTTTTTTGTATTAGATTTCAACAAAGCTAAATGACTCAAATACAGTTATAGCTCAGGTAAGTGGTTCAAACCATCATGCACTTTGATTTTGACTTTCTGATTATAAATAGTAATTTGACAACTGTACAGCATTTCCACCACAAAGAATGTCCCAGACACCTGAGATTCAAAATAGCCCCCTGAGAGCCTTCCAACCTCTGAGGCTGAAAGGACATGGTGAACTCAGTGTAAACATGTTCCTTACCCTCCAGGAACCAAGCTCCCACGTGGAGTTGCCTTGCTGCTGTAAAGACTGGATGACAATAACAATAGCTACTTCTCACCTCCCAGTCAAGGAGGAGCAAGCTGTTACCAGCATTGTTCATAACCCACGACTGAGAAACACTGATAGAGTTAAAGCAGTGAAAGTGGTGAAGGATGTTCTTTCTGGTAAAAGAAAACAAGAATTTTGCCATGAAACTGTATAATTTTTAAAATTGTGATTGTGTCCATAACAAAATAAATGGCTATATTCAGATAAGCATAGCATACATACGTAGGTATATACCTGCTGCCTTAGATTTGGTGTTAGGCATACTGAGCAATAGCAGCAAGGTGCCAAATACTGAGTGCCTGAGGTAGGTGTGTTGACCTGGGCTGAATCCTCTGCAATCACAGCTTCACTGCCAACAATATCAAATGACCTAGACTGAAGTTTGTGTACTTTTATGTGTGCTATAATCAGGTCTCCCACATGCAGCACAGACACAGGTGAAGAGTGCAATGGGGTTCTATTGATCAATAAATTAATATCTCATAATATCATGTTGCTTCTGTCATGACTTGCCATTGTTTTGGTATAGGTCAGTGGAAACAGTGTTAATCATCAGCACACATCTTGCAGTGTTTGGGAATTTTGTTACTCACATATAAACTGACTCAAGGCTGTGGAGATGGTAAGACCCAAAGCGGTGACTGCAAATGGGTTGTTTGCTCTAGATCTCTATCTTGGTCCAAAGGTCAAGCTTTTGAACGCTGAGAAGAGGCTAGTGGAAGAAATCCCGGAGTTGCCTCCAAATACTGTACTAGTAAAATGAAGCAACGGCAGATCAAACCTCATAGACAATGATTAATGGAGAGAAGAAAGGCAAGTAGTTATTTACTGACATAAACCACCTAGAAGACAGGGACCATACAAATACTGACCTAAAAAGCCAAATGCATGTATAGTATTTTAATTCCTACTGATCAAATTGGAAAATTTGATCTGGAGTATAATAAGAAGAGTTCTATCCAGTACAATTTTTTCTTTTGCAACTGATTTTCACCATCTTATAAGAAATCCTCTACTGCATAGTGAACATTGAATACAATGTGACATTCCTCAAAATAGGGGGGTAAAACTGTAAACAGATATTTTGGATATTGCTAGAGAAAAAAATTATTTGTATCACAAGAGGGGAAAAAAGCAGTCATATCTTGGCCAAGAATCTATGAAATAAAGCTGAATGTTCCTTTCGGAGAGAAGGTAGTGATTCAGAAGGGAAAGATTAGCGGGCTGGAGAATGAAAGTTGCATTAAACAATCCATATAAGAATCCTGTAAACATCCTATTTCTTCTTTCAGTTTATACTTTTATTCTGGAGTCTTGTCTGGAAATACGAAGGGTATGCATCTTCTGCAGCAGCTACTTGAAAATGAATGGTAGAACAGTGTATGTTTGTGCAAACAGGGTGTTGTGGATGAGCTGAACTTCTTGGAGAAATTCAGACCCATCTACTACCAGTCTCTAATTTCTTCCTGGTTCTTCGAACTGAGATTCAGGAGGGTGGACACAATAAAGAAGAAGATGGGGCACTAAAAGAGAAGCAGTATGTAGAGATGCTTATCAATAACTGGGGCTAGACCAAAGCTGATAAAGTCCTGGGACGGATCCCTGACTGGCTGGGAAAGCATGAGGCTAGGGTTGGTCACCTGAGGATAACAAACAACCACTGATAGATTGTCAGAGAATACAAACTGACTGATGAGGGTGCATTTTCATAATGCGTATTTTAATACATAACATAATTTAATCTGTTTTTTACCAGGAAGGGCAACTGTAGGAAGAAAGCCTCAGAAGGCTTTACCAGCTCAGGAAAGACAGCTTAGGTAGGTATGACACTATGGTAATAAATGGGAAGGTTGGAAAAGTTATCTGTGCTTCATTGTTGTGCCTTCTGATTTGAGGTATACACAGGAGCAGCAGTGCCTCTGCAAATAAAAAGCACCAATCTGAATGAACTTGATGCTCATAAATAGGTACATTTACTGAGTCAAATACCTAATCAATACTTGTTTGAACAAGCGGGATAGAGATTTATGTACTAACATCAATAGTAACAGTGACATCATATTTAAAATAAACTAACAGTGGTCTTAAGGATTACATAGAAATAGCTTCTTGATTGTCTCTTTTGAGGTTTCGCATGTATAAGTAAAACCTGAGAAATATTTTTATTTGAACTATTTTTAGCTGTTGTCATGCTCATATATACCAGAGATGTAGAGGAGAAATATCTAGAAAAGGTACAGTCTTTTCTTGGTAAAGATTATTTATACCAGCTAAGATAGACCTGATTAAGAAAGCAAGCTAAACATTGATTAACAGGAGAACTGGAGCCTTACTTCCTGCTTTTTGAAGGAAACCAGGACAAAAAATAGTACTTCTGATTTAGCCTGCCTTTAAAATGACCATCCCCAAACCTGGTAACATTCAGTTTTGCACTGGGAGCAGATATTTCATCCTAATGCGGTGTCAGTTGTACTTCCCCCAGCTCACAGCTCTTGCTGACTGCAAAATTCAAGACATCGGCCATGGTGTACTGACTTGCTCCACAGTCAGCAGTATCACGGACTTTCCCCTCCTCAACACACCTTAATGTATGTTCTGATGTCCTAGTTTATATTATTTTGTGTATTACCTGTGTATTTAGTTTCTTTTCTTTAGCCTGGATAATAAAGAGCTTACTGCAATCTATTAATTACAGTTAAAATGAGCAAAACTCTGTTCCTTAGGAACTTTTGCATCCCACATTTTTCTCGGGTTTGCACAACTTTAAAGAGCTTTCCTTTCAGTCTGTCTACCTACTTAAAATTCATTAAAAGTGCATGTTTGAAGAAGTGTTGCAAATTTGAAGAAATTAACTATGATTAACTTAGAACGTTATCTAACTATTGTACTGTGTAAATTACAAGAGGTGAGGTCAGTTATTCAAGTGCTTCTCAAGTAGGACCACTGTGACATGAGAAGCAATTTAGTTAATTATTACTGCTTTTCCAGAGATAATTTGCATGCAACAACTCAATTTGTTGTATTGACTGTGTGTGAGAGAAACTGAAGCATTTGCCAGGCTGCAGTTTTGATAGGAACATACTAGCTTTGAGCACTGGTTAAAAAGCTTCATAGCAATCTGAGGCGGTAACAGTGGATGGAATATGAGAGAAGACGAAAGAAAGCCCTGAAAGCACAGCCCCTAGTGAAGGCAACCAATTTGTCTTCAAGGTGACACCACAATAGGAAAAACATGAAACAGAAAACCTTTCCTGGATTTTTTTTTAACTAGTATCTTAATTTCAACTCCTTTGGCTTTTATAAAACAAATTTCTTATGCAGAAATTGCCAACGGATAATCCAATAAATCCAATACTCCCTAGAGGATGCTTTTGTCTGGTTTGTACTACAAGTTTACAGCGAAGCAATAAAGTTTTTGGAGTTTTACCTTCATTCTGATGCGCTGTGCCATGTTTTTTATTATTTGTATAGTTCTTGAGGAACACAAGAGTTCTGAAGGTCTTAGCAGAGATGTAATCACTGTTGAGTTTTAGCTTACTTGTGATTTAAAGGCTAGGACCAAGACTTTTTGTTAGGGTGCTATACAAATAGTTTTGCCCCAGCAGCAAAGCTGCATCTTAAAAAGATGATCATCAAACGCTATGCAATTATCATAGTGTGGTTATCAAATGGTATGCAGTTCACCAGGACATTCCCATGATTTTTTTGAGAAAAGTCATGTCCCTAAATGAGCTGAGTGCTTCAGAAAATGCTTGGATCCTGGACTGCTAGTTAAAGCACCATTTTCCACCTATTTGAGACAAGTTATTTACACTACCTCCCTTCTTGCCCCATGGAAACTCAGTTTCTCTGCTGCTCTGGAGTGATGTGGAAGGATGGATTTGGGAACCCATTGAGCTACTGAGAGCTATGTGGAAACGAGAGAGGAAGAAGATCACAGCATGTGGAAGCTGAACTCCCCCATGCTCTGCAATGTGATGTGGCAGGGTATGGTGGTGTCTGATGCAAAGGCTGGCTCAGTTTGGGCTCACGGTTGAAGAATATTCTCTATTACATTTGCAGAAAGAGGGCAGAAATGTTTCAGTGTTTTGGGGGGCTTGATTTTTGGTAAGGTTGCAGAGGGATAACCTGAAAAGGCCTCATGTTCTAGCTGAGATACACAGAGGAGTTGTTTTCATTCTTAAGCAATTAAGGTCACTTCAGCAGTGACTTGTTCTGACAGAGAGTCTTAAAACTTGTATGTAACATTAGAAAAATAGAAGCACAATGCCAATCACTTTGGACTTACACTGACTGACACTTGAGGTAATTATCAGTCTCTTTATAAACATTGGTACATTAATCTAGTTACAAGAGGAATTAGTGCCAAGCATTTTACCCCGTAGTTAAATCCTTTTGATGCAC